GGACTAGAAAGCAATAGATTTCTTGCTTCTGCCACAAATTCCCTCAGCTGTGAGCCTTCCAACCTTCTAAGTATTCCTTTATATGTGGTTCAGAGTTCAGGAACCATCCCCTGAGCCTGCTTGTTCAGGTATTCTGTGTTGTTGTTGGCGGAGCTCTCTGCTATACGTCTACCCGATCCGCCATCTTGTTTGTTCCTCTCAGCTGGTTACTTATTAACCATATGGAGCTTGGTGTGGTGCTGTGGCTATGCACTGGAATGTTAACTTCAAGGTCAGTGGCTCAAAACTACCAGCCATGCTTTGAAATCCTATACAGGATTGCTGTGGGTCAGAACTGACTCAACGGTGTTTGACAACAATTATTTTATCTTTCTTCTGATTGATTCTAATATATTTAGAGATGGAATATTTTGTTAGCATAATTATTGGCATGAATATGCTTATTTAAGCATTTTGCATTTATTTCCAAAAAGTAACAGTTTAAAGCTATGCCTTGTTATTTAGCTATTTTGCACACAATTATTAATTCATAAATTTAAATTAAGATATGATCTTGGACAGTTTGATTAAAGGATGATATCTAAATAATGGATACAAGTTAATGCCTGCATAATTGCAAAGATTAGTAAAACTATTTGCAAATTTTAAAAATTATACACAGTTGGAAACCAAGAAGTTACTTAATCTGAGTCCCGGGAGGAACCAACTTGGGATAGGAGATAGACTCAAAAGAGATAAAATAAAACACAGTACAAATTTTTGTGGGAAGTGCAAAGTAGAAGTGGCATATACACACAGAAGAGGGAACAATTATTTATGCTGAAGAGGGATAAGGGCAAAAATGGTGTTGCAGGATAATGCACTGGACCACAAGGTCGATTTGAACCTCAAGATCGGTGGTTCAAACTCACCAGCCACTCCTTGGAAACCCTATACAGGATCGCTATAAATCAGACCTACTTGGCAGCACTTAATAAAAGTAATTTTGAAAATTTAGCAGATTGAAAGGGTATCAGAGAAAATAGAAAGTGTGGACATGTTTGATGTACTTTGTGAACTGTAATAATTTCCCTCTGGTTGGAAGGTATTGCATTTAGTAACATGTATTCAACATTGTCATTACTTGATAAAATAGCTTCCATAAATTGTGAGTAAGAAAAATCCTCTTCTTTTAACCCCCATCCCTAGTTGTTTTATAAACTCATCTCTGAGTGGACAATTTCTAGTAGTAGCTTCTTAGTGTAAATGAGATATTTCTTTCCTTGGGTTATTACTGAACGTTTCCTCCATACACTCTTCCACACTTAAAATGTTGAGAACTTCTCTCTCTCTCTTGGTTGTATTCCTACTCTGTACCTTCTCCATTTTCTTTTGGCTCACCTTTTTCTGTTTACCTTCACATTGAAATTTACCTGAGCCCAGTCTTGATGCTACATTTCATGTCTATACAGCATGCATGAGTGCCACATTTGTATATTGTGACCATCACTTAAATGTCTTGCTTGTTTGTTAAATGCTGCCAAGTTGGTTCGGACTTATAGAGACCATGTATAGGGTTTCTGAGGAGCAGCTGGTGAGTTTGAACTACCTATCTTGAAGTTCAAACTAACTTTGTGATGGAGTGCTTATCCTACTATGCAATGCCAGGACTCCTATGAGAGTCTGAACTTCTATCGGTTCATTTGCAAGTGTTCTCTGCACCCTGAGGTGAGAATTTTCAGAGATGTTCTTGACCTTATGTGGGTTGTGGTTGGAAGGGCAGGGGTAGGGGTGGAGAAACGAGATTCAAGACTGACAGGGAGTGGTTGTCAGTGGGTACTTTATGGAATGATCATGCCTTCATAGAGAACTCTTCTCTTCAAGGTTTCTGGTGACCTTGTAAGGCGCTTGCACCTGGAATCCCATGTGGACCAACTTGTTGCTACATATAGTGGTGGAACCAAGAGGAAACTCTCTATAGCTTTGGCTTTGGTGGGAAAACCTGAAATTCTTTTATTGGTAAGTAAAGGAAATAATAATAATAATGCCTTTTATTTTTATCTGTGAAACCTTTATATATTTGTGGGTATACTTCCACTGTCCTGACTGTGTATCTGTTCATTTATTTACCTGTACAACACAGTTGTTGCAGGGTTGTGTATATAACAATATTTACCTCTATTGCATTTAGTCCTTGTATTCCTCTGTATTTCTTTACCATTCTTCTGCCAATCTCCATCTTGTTGTACAGTGCCTTCATTATCATCCAAGTTAACATGTATCTACCTTGGAAACCCTATACAGGATTGCTATGGGTCAGAATTGACTCAACAGCACTTAACAACAACAGCAACAACAACAACCCTCTAGCCAGTGAATTATTTTCCACTCCCTTTCACCCCGGGTAATCACCAAAGAATGTTTTAGCATGAAAACCTTTTGTTGACTTTTTACAGTAGTGATCTCATACAGTAGTTGTCCTTTTGTTATTGACTAATTTCACTAAGCATAATGTCCTCCAGCAGGAGAAAGATGAGGTTTTTCACTCCCACAAAGATATACAGCCTCTGAAATGCTATACAGGTTCACTATGAGTTGGAACTGACTCGATGGCATTTAACAACCACAGTGTTCTCCAGGTTCATCCATGTCATGAAGTGTTTTGTAGATTCATTATTCTTGTTCAATGTTGCAGAGTATTTCATTGTGTGCATTTACCAAATTGTGTTTATCCATTTTACAATTGATGGGCATTTAGGCTATCTCCATCTTTTTGTTATTGTGAACAGTGCCGAGGTATGCATATATCTTATTCATGCTAAAGCTCTTATTTATTGAAGATATATAGCAAGTAGAGGGATTACTGATTTATACTGTTTTCTATAGTGGTCGCACCATTTTACAATCCCACCAGCAATGTAAGAGGGTCCTAGTCTTTCCATATCCTCACTAGTATTTGTTGTTTTTTGGTTTTTTTTTTGAGCTTTGCTATTAATGCAGGGGTGAGGTGTTGTCTCGTTGTTGTTTTGATTTGCATAGTTCTAATGACTAAATGTTTGTGAATATTTTCTTCAGATGCTTTTTGGAGACCTAATATTTTCTTTGGTTGTGTGTTTTGAAATTGGATTATTTGTCTTTTTCTTGTGAGGTACTGAAGTTTTCTATAAATTTTAGAGATTAATCCATTGTCTGCTGTCATTGGGAAAAAAAAAAAAAAAGATTTTTAAGCCTGTGGGTTCTTTTCTTACTCTGATGTTGATATCTTTTTATGTACGTAAGTGTCTAAATTTTAGGATGTCTCAGTTATCTATTTTATCTTCTCCTGACTGTGTGTTTTCAGTCACATTTGATAATGTAGTCATGCTCAGTATAAGAGCCCCTACTTTGTTCCTGTTTTTTCACTGATGATCTTTATAGATGTAGATTCTACATTTAGATCTATAATCCACATTGAGTTTGTTCATATAGATGGTGTGCATTATGATTCTTATTTCATTTTTCAGCAATTGGATTTCCAGATTTTCCAGCCCACTTGTCGACAAGACTATCTCTTCCCCATTTAATGTTTTGGCCCATTTTCAAAGATTAGCTGACCATATATGTATAGATATACTTCTGGGTTCTTAACTTTGTTTTATTGATCTGTTTTTGTAACAGATTTGCGAGTGTAATTCATTGTTGGATTTCTTGGTTGCTGTTTCCATGAGCATTGATTGTAGGTCCAGATAAAATGAAATTATTTTTCCATAAAAATGATGCTGAAGATTGCATGATAAAATGTGTGATTAATGGCTTATTCATTGCAAATACTTTTTCATTAACATAAATGGTAAATATACACATGGTCTTAACCAGTTACTATTCACAAGGTTTGGGATCAACAGTTGCTCATATGTGGGTTCAGGCTGAAGCTGAAGAAATTAAAACAAGTCAATGAGAGCCAAACTATAACTGGAATATATCCCGCCTGAATTTTGGGATCAAATCAAGGACAGATTTCATGCATTAGACACAAAAGACCAGAAAAGCTATGGGAAGATGTAAAGAATCTCATACATGAAGTCATTAAAATGGCAGGAAAAAAAGAGAGGACTATAATAGCTAACAAAAGAGACTTTGAAACTTGCTCTTGAATAAAGTGAAATTAAAGCAGCTGGAAGAAATTATATGGTAAAAGAGCTGAAAATAAAATTTCAAAGGGCAGCTAGAGAAGACTAAGTATTATAATGTAATGTGCAAAGATCCAAAAGGGAAGAATATACTTATCATTTCTCAAGATGGAAGAATTAATTAAAAATTCAAGTTGAACGATTTTATGGGCAAAATTATGCCAAGACATTTGGAAGACATGCCTGGAAAATGGATTGGAAGGGATCCATATGGGATGCGTAAATCATTGAGCAATGACCTTAATATCACATGTAAACAAAATTTTGCTGAAGATAATCCAAAATCTCTTGTAATGGAGCTGCCAAGAATTCAAGTCAGAAGAGGACATGGAACTAGGTATATCATTGCTGACATCCAATGTATCTTGAGTAAAAGCAGAAAATACTAGAAAGATGTTTACTTGACTATGCAAAGACTTTCAACTATGTGAATCATGACCCATTATGGATAACATTGTGAAGAATGAGTATACCAGAACATTAGTTGTGCTCATGAGGAAATGGTACATAAGTCAAGAGGCTGTAGTTTGAATAGAACAAGTAGATACTGAATGGTTAAAATCAGGAAAAGTATCATGACCGTATCCTTTCACCATAGTTATTCAATCTGTATGCTGAACAAATAATTCAAGAAGATGGATTATACAAAGAAGAATGTGGCATCAGAACTGAAGAAAGACTCATTAAAAACCTGCGATATGCACATTATGCAACCTTGCTTGCTGGAAGTGAATAGGACTTAAAATACTTACTGACCAATATCATAGACTATAGCCTTCTGTATGGTTTGCACCTCAATGTAAAGAGAATCAAAGTCCTCACAACTGGACTAATAAATAACATCATGATAAATGAGGAAAAGACTGAAGTTGCCAAAGACTTCATTTTGCTTGGCTCCACAATCAACACTCAATGAAGCAGTAGTCAAGAAACAAAGGATGTATTGCATTAGGCCAGGGGTGGGAGCATCTGGCTCTCATACCATATAAGTCCAGGAAATCATTTGGTCTGGCCCTGCCAAGGCAGCTGCAGGTAGGACTTAAAATTCAATAAATCTAGAAGCTTTCTTCATAACAAAATAAATTCATACTAAGTGATGTTATAAATATCAAAACCACCCTTGGCAGAAAAAAGGTCCCCTATCCCTGCATTAGATAAATCTTATACAAATATCCTCTTTACAGTGTTACAAAGCAGGATCCACTAGCCTGGTCCAAGAGAAGGTTGGCTTCAGTGAGATGACCATGGCAGCTCAGACTAGTCACAAAGCCCTGTGAAAAGTTGTCTCGGGATGCCATCCCAAGTCGGCAGCAGCTAGAGTCCTGGATCTGGTGGAGGATCCTGTGAGGAACATCAGTTGTGCCCCATCAATAAATGAAGGTCCCAAAGGCTTTATTCCTTTCACATCATCACTGTATTTTGAAGAGACAGCTCTGCCCCAGTCATTTTGAGTGCCTTCCAACCTCAGAAGCTCATCATTCGGCACTGTATCTGGCAATATTCAGATACTTAGCTTTCTGTGGTATCCTGATGAGCAGAAATTTTCCACTACATACCTCAGTTGTGCCTATGGAGATACATGCAAGAACTTTCCTGGAAATCACTGCACCATTCATAAACAAAAGAAAATAATATTCAGAGAGGAGACTAATAGAATATTAGGTGCAGGAAATGTATGATCTGGTATCAAGAGTTGAGCATTACAAGCATTCCTTGGTGCAAAAAATCAGATATAATATCAAAATGATCTGGATACTGCAAAGCATGATTAGAAATTGGGTTTCCACCTGTGTTGGAGCGATATATATACATCAGTAGTAACCCTGGTGAAGCCACATTTGGTATAGGCATCCTGTACAGATAAGAGACTTTTCAATCATCTGGAGACTATTTGGCATTTTAGCCCAGGTCTTATGGCTACCCAAGAACTTGTACCTTAGATTTTTCTATTTCATTTGAATTTCACTGACTTTACACTCTCAGCTTGCCACGCTCTTTTTCTGCTGAAGTTGTAAAGCAGATAGTAGGTGCCTTTGAAAGAACAGCATGTAAGCTGTATGGTCCAGAAGCAAATAGACCACAGGAATAGATGCTTCATGAAGTTCATCACACATAAAAGGAAAAAAGAACTGGTGTCACCTATTTATAACTGTGTTCACTTTTAGAAGTGCTTTCATTATTTGCTTTCACAAGTCAGAAAGCATTTGTAAGACCCAGCTTTGATTATAAAACTGCACCACTGAAAATTTGCACATAGAACATGGAATGAATTATTTCTTCAATCAAGTATAATTCAGAGTATTATGTACATTAGCATGTTCTGCATTTACAATAATGAGATGCCATCACTTTTTGTAGAATACGGACATCTCTTTTCTGAGCAGAATTTGAACTGTAAATTTAAACCTGTTAATTACCACCTACCTGAAAAAGGTTATTCATGCAGTATGGCTTATATTAACCATATCATGTTTAAGTTATTAAATTCAGAATATTTGTAACTTATTGCTATAGGACCTGCCCCGCACCTAGGATATTTGAGTAATCATCAGATATTTAAAGAAAAACTTTGACTTAAAAATACCAATGGTTGAATGTGAAGCTGATGATGTGCCCTGTAAACTTTCACTCAATCCACAATAAAAACCTTAAAAAAAATACTGTTAATGCAGTTTCCTAGGCACTTTAGATATTTAAAATTTGTGCTTCTGGGTGGTAGTAGAGAAATCATTTTGATGATGAGGTTTCGTGCCTAGATCAAAACCAAGTATTTTTCTTGGTGAGTGGTCCAGAGCTTTAAGCTACCTTTTTAGTAGTTTGCAGCCTTCTGCTAGGTAGTGTGACCGCTCTTTGAATAATGTTAAGTATGTCAAATTTTGTCTAGAGCAGTAGGTAACAGATGAAGATAAGTTGGTCTCCAGACCATGCATCCCTAATTTTCTATTTACATATGTATTCACTTTCAATAATATATTTCAAACTGCTGTTAAAACACACCCACACACCCACACACCAAATCAATGTTAAAGCTTTAATAAAGCTAACTTGTTTGTTTGTTTGTTTTTAAGCGTTATAGAGCAAAGATGTCAGATTGAGGATGAAGGCATGTTTGATGCAAGCCATGATGTTTTCAATCAACTCATACACATTTTAACGTTGTACAATGAAGAAAAAAGACTGCAGAATAATCAATGCATTTGAATTATGGTATTAGAGAGGAATATTAAATGTACCATGGACTGCCAGAAGAATAAACAAATCTGTCTTGGAAGAATTACAGCCAGAATGCACTTTAGAAGTGAGGTTGGCAAGACTTTGTCCTCTTACTTTTATATCTTGTCAGAAGGGACCAGTCCTTGGAAAAGACATCGTATTTAGTAAAGTGGAGGATCGGCAAATAAAAGATAAAAGCCCCCAATAAGATGGATTGACTTAATGGCAGTGGCAGTGAATTTAAACATAACAACAATTGTGAGAATGGTACAGGGTGAAGTAATGTTGCAGTTTGTTGTGCACAGGCTCAATCTGAGTTGAAACCAACTTGAGGGCTCCTAGCAACACAACAATATATATAAAGAAGGTTCTGAAGTTGTGCTGTAAGATAGCACTAGACTGATAACCAAAAGTTTGGCATTTCAAACCTGCCAGCCACTTTTTGGAAATCCTGTATAGGGTCACTATGAGTCAAAACTGAGTTGATGGCACATAACAACAAATATATATATTTGTGATGTACAAACATGTGATCATATATATATATATATATATATATGATGTTCAAATAGATATACACTTTGGACATATTGTCAGGAGGGACCAGTCCCTGGAGAAGGATATCATGTTTGGTAAGGTGGAGGGTCAGAGAAAAAGAGAAAGATCCCCAACAAGATGGATTGGCAAAGTGGCAGCATCGATGGACTCAAGTGTGGCGACAATAGTGAGGTAGGCCCAGGATCGGCCAGTGTTTCATTCTGCTGTGCATAAGGTCGCTATGAGTTGGCACCAACTCAATGGCACCTAACAACAACAACAACATATATATAAATATATATATGAGTCAGAACCAACTTCATGGCACTTAACAACAAGAGCATATATTCTTGTTAAGTGATATCTAGTCAGAAACAATTTGATGGCACCTAATTCTACAAAAAACATGTAATGGCATCATACAGTTTAGATAGATACTATTCAAAATGAGTTATATAGCAATTGTTTTATTGTTTATAAAAGAAGAATACTTTAGATTCTAATAAATTTCCATTTATTTGATATTGCTGAATAAGTGAAAATTTTTGTCTGCTATCATAGGTTTCTTGGGTATATAAACATTTTGTTGTTGGAGGATAGATGTTGTTGTGGTTAGGTACCATCGAGTCAATACAGGCTCCTAGAGACCCTATGCACGACAGAATGATACACTGCCCAGTTCTGGGCCAACCTCACGATTGTTGCCACACTTGAGCCCATTGATGCTGTCATTTTGCCAATCCATCTCACTGAGCATCTTCCTCTTTTTCTCTGACCCTCCACATTACCAAACATGATATTATTCTCCAGTGACTGGTCCCTATGGACAATAGGTCTGAAGTATGAGAGACGAAGTTTGGCCATCTTGGCCTCAAAGAAACATTCTGGCCACCCTTCTTCCAACACGGATCTGTTTGTTCTTTTGGCAGCCCATGGCACTTTGAATATTCTCTTTCAACACCATAACTCAAAAGCATCAAATCTTCTATGGTCTCCTTATTCACTGTCCAGCTTTCACATGCATGTGAGGTTATTGAAAATACCATGGCTTGGGTCAGACGCATCTTAGTCCTCAAGCTGATATCTTTGCTCTTCAACATTTTAAAAGAATCTTGGGCAGCAGGTTTGCCTAACACAATGTCATTTGATTTCTTGACTGCTATTTCTGTGAGTGTTGATAGTTCATCCACGAAGAATGAAGTCTTGACAACTTCAGTCTTTTCTCCATTGATAAGAATGTTGTTTATTGGTCCAGTGGTGATGATTTTTGTTTTCTTTACATTTAGATGCAATCCTTACAAAAGGCTGTGGTCTTTGATCTTCATCAGTAAATGTTTTAAGTCCTCTTCACTTTCAGCAAGCAAGGTTGTATCATCGGCATATCGCAGGTTGTTAATGAGTCTTCATCCAATCCTGATGCCACATTTTTCTTCATATAACCCAACTTCTTGGATTATTTGCTCTGCATACAGGTTGAATAAGTATGGTGAAAGAACACAACCCTCTTGCACACCTTTCTTCATTTTAAACCATTCAGTGTTCTCATGTTCTGTTTGAACAACTACCTCTTGGTCCATGTACAGATTCCTCATGAGCACAATTAAGTGTTCCGGAATACTCATGCTTTGCAATGTTGTCCATAGTTTGTTGTGAGCCACATGATCAAAAGCCTTTGCATAGTCAATAAAGCACACATAAACATCTTTCTGGTATTCTCTGCTTTCAGCCAAGATCCATCAGACCTCAGTAATGATATCCCTCATTCTGCATCCTCTTATGAATCTTGATTGAACCTCTCAAATTTCTCTGGCAGTGTATGCTTGCAGCAGTTTCTGTATTATCTTTAGTTAAACTGTACAATCATGGAATATCTAAGATATTGTCTGATGATTTCTGCATTCTGTGTGTCATCTCTCTTTGGAATGGGCACAGATCTGAATCTCTTCCAGTCAGTCGGCCAGATAGTTGTCTACCAAAATTCTTGGCAGAGATGAATAAGTGCTTCCAGTGCCACCTCACTTTCTTGAAATATTTCAATTTTTATTCTATCAATTCCTGGTGCCTTGTTCTTTGCCAGTTCCTTCAGTGCACCTTGGACTTCTTCCTTCAGTATCAGTGGCTCTTGATCATATGCTACCTCTTGAAACGTTTGAACATCAACGATTTCCTTATGGTACAGTGACTCTGTGTATTCCTTTCATCTTCTCTTGATGCTTTCTGCACCATTCAGTAATTTGCCCAGAGAATCCTTCAGTAATGAAAATTTATTTTTTTCTTCTACCTTACCACCTTTCTTCTGTTCCTTGAGAAATGTTGAGTGTGTTCTTCCCTTTTGTTTTTCTAAATCCAAGGATACATGTTAAACAAGATACATGCTACAAATCTCAAATTCGTCCATCCATCCAAATCATGAGGGGTAACTCAGCTGATATGAAGTTGCAGTCATAATTTGTTGTGTGTAAACATGACATGTCTCTTTAATAGAGGCAGAAGAGTGATTTTATCTGACCAGGATATGTCACTCTCATGACAGTGTTTATGTGTCTATGTGTGTCTTCCCAATGTCACAGCCAAATATGGTTTTTGTTTTTCAGGATGAGCCCAGCTCTGGGATGGATCCCTGCTCTAAGCGGTATCTGTGGGAAACAATAATGAAGGAAGTTCAGGATGGTTGTGCTGTTGTGCTGACCTCGCACAGGTGTGTTATTCCCTTTCGTCTGACTATTTCCCAAGGTTGAACAGCAGTCAGCAGTATTGAGTATACTCAGGGACCTGGATCAGTTCTAAGCACTCAGTATGCAGATAGCCTGGTGTGATACTGTGGATTAATGTACTGGACTGTATCCACCACAAGACTGGCAGTTCAAGCTCACCAGTTGCTCCTCAGATATCTTTTTGCTATTGGTCAGAAAACCATCTCTGTGGCCCTTAACAACAATAACAACACAAAAAAACTATGAAGTATCAAAGAGAAGCAGAAAGAATATGCAGTATTGTAACCAAAAGTATTGGTCAGCATTCAACCATTTCAGGAGGCAGTATGTTATTAAGAATCAAAGGCACTTAAGGAAGAAGTCTGAGCTGCCCTAAAAGCATTGGCCTAAACAACCTTTCAGAAATTGGTGGACTACAAATTGAGATGTTTCAACAGCAAATTGATGCAATGTTAGAAGTGCTCTCATCTATATCAAGAAATCTGGATGAAAGTTACTTGACCAAATGACAGGAAATTGATGTTTGTGCTCATTGCAAAGAAAGAAAATCCAGCAGAATGCAGACAGTATTGAACAATATCATTAGTAACATATGCTAGTGAAACTTTGCTGAAGATAATTTAAAAACAATAGCAGCAATACCTAGACAGGGAACTGTGAATAATTCAATCCCGATTCAGAAGAGGCTATGGAACGGGAGCTATCATTGCTGATGTCAGATGGATTTTGAAAGAAAACAGAATATCACAAAGATGTTTACCTGTGTTTTAATAATTATGCAAAGACATTTAATTGTGTAGAGTATAACAAATTATGGTTAATAGTGAAAAAAATCAGAATTCCAAAAGTCAGAAAAGGTTAAGTGTCAGGGACGTATTGTTTCACCATTCTAATTCAAACTATATGTTGATGAAATAATCTAAGAGTTGGACTCTGTAAAGAAAAAGCCAGCATCAGAATTTGTTGTTGTTAAGTGTGGTGCTATGGGTTAATGTACTGGATTGCAAGGTTGGTCTGAACTGCAAGGTCAGTGGTTGAAGCTCCTCAGAAACCCTGTGAGTTGGCACCGACTCAATGGTACTTAACAACAACCACAACAAGAAGTTCTATTGAGTAGCTTTCAACTCATAGCGACCCTGTCAAGGGTTTCCAAGGAGCAACTGGTGAATTTGAACCACTGATCTTGTGGTTCAAACTGACCTTGTGGTACAGTACATTATCCTGTAGTGCCACACCAGAACTTCTCATCAGATTTGGAGGAGGACTAATTAACAATCGATGATGTGCAGATGATACAACCTTGTTTGCTTGAAGAGACTTTATAGTACTCACTGCTGAAGATTACAGCCTTCAGTATAAATTATACCTCAGCAGAAAAAGAACACAAATTCTCCTAACTAGATCAATAAGCGACATTATGCAAAGTGGGGAAAAGATTGAAGTTGTCAAGAATTTCGTTTTACATGTATTCACAAGCAACATAAATGGAAGAGCAGGTCAAAGAATCAAACAGTGTATTGCATTGTGAAAGTCTACTGACAAAGAACTCTTTAAAGTATTAACAAGCAAAGATGCCATTTGAGGACTAAGGTAAACCGTATTTTAGTCACCTCATATGCATGTAATAGCTGGACAGTGGATAAGAAAGAGTGAATAATTGATGCATTTTAATTATGATGTTGGTGAAGAATGTTTAATTTACTATGGACTGCTAGAAGAGTGAACATATCTGTTTTGGAAGATGAACAATCAGAATGCTCCTTAGAAGTCAGGATTACTATATTTCATCTCACATACTTTGTACATGTTATCAGATGGCACCAGTTCCTGAAGAAGGACATCTTTCTTTGTGAAAAAGAAAATGAAAGAAAGAATGAAAAAGAAGAAGGTCACCTATGAGATTGACAGGGAGTTGACAGAAATTCAAGCCAAAAGAGCACGTGGAACTAGGGATATCATTGCTGACATCAGAGAGTAAAAGAAAGCATACAATACCAACAAGATGTTTGCTTGTGCTTATTGCCTATGAAAAGGCATTTTACTGTTTGGATCATAACAGACTATTGATACCATTATGAAGAATGGGCGCTACAGAAACTTTTGTCATTTGAACAGAACAAGGGGATACCGAATAGGTTTAAATCAAGAAAGGTGTGTGCCAGCATTGTGTTCTTTCATCATACTTATTCAGTCTGCATGCTGAACTAATAATCTGAGAAATGATTACATGAAGAAGAACATGGCAACAGGATTGGAGGAAGACTCAGTAACAATCTGCGATATGCAGATGATACAACCTTGCTTGCTGAAAGTGAAGAGGACTTAAAATATTTACTGATGATGATCAAAAGCCTTTGGTCTCTCAAACTTTGGCCATGTTGTCAGGAGGGACCATGTCCATCATTCTTGGTAACATGGAGAGTCAAGGAAGAGGAGGAAGACCCCCAATAAGGTGGATTGCCACAGTGGCAGCAACAATGGGCTCAAACATAACAAGTGTGAGGATGGCATTGGTCTGGGCAGTGTTTTCTTCTCTTGTCCATGGAGTAGCTATGAGTTAGCACCAACTTCATAGCACCTAACAACAAAACATCATTGGCCTGATTCTGTTGTATGCCAAACTTTAGCTGCAAGGGAAGCTTTCAATCTGAACTGCCATCTCTCCAAGTGTAGTATACTGAGTAATGTTGGTCACCTGATTTCAAAAATAGCACTTGCTTCCAGTACAGAGTTTGGATATTACAAACTGATAAAGTCAGTAAAGACAGTCCACCATTAATTTCACTTCTCATTTGTACATAGTCAGAAATTTCTATTTTATTTTATTTTTCCTTTCCATGTTTAAAAATGTTCTTTAGTACTTATTTGGGCAATGTTCTAATACAGTTGTTGTTATTGTCGAGTGCAAGCAAAATGGTTCATAGTAACCATGTATAGAATTTTCAAGGAGCAACTGGTGGGTTTAAACCACCATCTTGAGGTTAGCAATCCACTGCTTATCCTACAGCACTACATCAACACTCCAAGTCCCTCCTTATCTACAGAGTATATGTTTGAAGACCACCAGTGGATGTGTGAAACCACAAACAGCATTGAACGTTATGCATACTATGTTTTGTCCTATCTATAAGCACATATGATGAATTTGAAGTCCTCTTATGGCACTGTAAGACAAAGCACTGGACCAGATTTGAACTGAAAGGTTAATAGATCGAACCCACCAGCCTTTCTTTGGAAATCCTGTATAGGGTCGCTGTGAGTTAGAACCAACTTGAAAACACTTAGCAACAATAAATAATAAAATTTAATTTGCAACTTAGGCACAGTAAGAGATTAACAGCAGTAACTAACAGCCAGGCAGTGTATATTGTGTAAGTGCAGAGGACAAAGGAGCGATTCATGTCTGGATGGTGCAGACCGGCGATTTCATCCTATTAGCTAGCCATTTAACGTTTTCACACCTTGGTTGACAGTGGGTAACTGAAAATGCAGAAAGAGATACTGTAGCTAAGGGGATTATTGTTGTGTGTAACTATTTTACTATTACTATGTTGTTTCCTTTTCCTCATTCAAGTAATTGATATTAGAAAACCTCCTTTTAATGGCTGATTTATATATGGACTCATTTATTTGACTTTTATACTACTGTGGAATATTTACAAATTTCCAGATTTTATTATTAAACAGATTGTTATATGCATCTTTATACATTAATCTTTTCCGTGTATTCTTAGAGTAAATTCCTAAAAAAATAATTCTTGCCAAATTGGTTTTCAGAAAGTTATGCCGTTTTTAGCTATTACCAACAGCATATATGATATGACTCATTTAGAACCGCTGGGAAAATATCATTAGGTATTTTGATCATACAATTTAGGTATTGTCTGATATTATAATTCATTGTTTTGGTTTTTGCAATGTTGTTGTTAAATACTGTCGAGTCGGTTCAGACTTATTGAGACCCTGTGTAGGATTTCTAAGGTGTGACTGCGGAGTTTGAACCACCAACCTTGCATTTAAAACCTACCTTTTGGTCCAGTGCATTATCCTGTACCAGGACTCCCAATGTGATAGCTAAATCAAAAGCAACTTCATGGCAATGGGTTTTACTAATCATTGTTGTTCTGGTTAAGTACCATCGACTCATAGCGACACTATATAGGATTTCTGAGGAGCAGCTGGTGGATTTGTACTGCTGACCTTGTGGTTCACAGTCCAGTGCTGATTGACAGCTCCACACCATGAGCCCTTACTAATCATCACTAATCATTAGTATATTTTACATATATTTTATATTTATATGTATTGTTATTGCTGTTAAGTGCCATCAATTCGGTTCTAAAACATGGTGATTCTGTTTATGGTTTCTGAGGAGTGGCTGGTGGGTTTGAATTGTGGATCTTGAGGTTAGCAGTCCAATGCTTATCCTACACGACCACGCCATTTTGTTATACATAATTTTCATATTATAATTTAATACTTTTTCTGTTTTCTCAAATATCCATTCTTTCCTCTATTTTGATACATCAGGATTTCATTTATGCTCATTAGTAAAGCTTCCATGTTTCTTTTCATAGAACTTTCTCATTTTTGCTAAGGTTATTTTCTATTTTTGTAGTATTGCTAAAAGATTCTCTCTCGTGTGCTTATAAGTCTTCTTTTTGTTGTTAATTTTTTAACTGTCTACCTAACTAAAATCTTATTAATTCTATAAGTATGTTTTTGCTTTTCCTTCAGTTTCTCTATAACATTAAATAATTTGAAAATAATGGTGTTCTTGTCTACTTTTCATTTTTAAATGTTTGATTCAAGTTATTTCTCGGCCAAGACTTATTTTATATGTTTCTTTTCCTTCTCTTCAGCATGGAGGAATGTGAGGCTCTCTGTACAAGACTTTCCTTCATGGTCAATGGTAGCTGCAAATGTCTTGGTTCCCCTCAACACATTAAAAATAGGTATGGTTCATTTTTCTTTAAATGTTTAATTGCTTGATACAGTGATATAACTAAGATGATCTTGATTCTATATGGTTCAATCAGTTCATTTCACAAAACAGGTGATGGAAGTCTTGGGAAGTGAAAGCTGTGCTCAAAATGTCAGTGTTAGTAGTTTAAAGATGCAGCAGCTGCCTTATGTATTGCAGGATTTCCCCCACAATATTTTGATTTGGTTTTCACCAGACAACAGTGTATCATTGTAAAACACTGGTTGATGTTATCGTTTTGTTGTTAAATGTCATCAAGTTGGTTCCGACCCATTGTTGTTAGGTGCCATCGATTCAGTATCGACTCATAGTGACCCTATGCACAACAGAAGGAAACATTGCCCAGTCCTGGCCAACCTCATAATCGCTGCTACACTCGAGCCCATTGATGCTACCACTGTGCCAATCCATCTGGGGGTCTTACCAAAATGCCATACCAATTCCTCTCTCATCCATAGTGAATCATGTGTCTGTTTTGCTGAAACAAATGTTATACTGCAAAAATGATCTCTAATAATCTAGAAAGATAAAATAGTTGTTATTGTTATTTTTCCTTTGGCTTTCATAAATAACTAATGAAAGGCTGAAGTTTTCTTCTTTGCTCATTAGTCCCTTCAATTTCTTTCTTTATAACATTTACTTTTGGAAACTTAATGATGTTGTTATAAATATCTTTGAGTATTTTTATATCCCAGTATATCTTTCCCCGTCAGAGTCGCCTATACTACTTTTACATATTATAATTTCCTTTTAATTTGTTGTTACACTGTTATTTTTGATACAGGGTAGTTTATTTTAGAATCATATTTTTTTAATTCATTTTCATGTATTCAATGTTGTTATTAAACTTTAAAAAATATTTACTGTGAATTGGGTAAAGGTTTACTAGAGAGATCATCAGTTTTCCATTCAACAATTCATGCATGTTTTGTTCATCTCAATGACGGCAATTTCCTCAGTGGACCAGCATTCAGCCCACTTCCTCCGTGTGTTTCTCCTTTCCATTTCTCTTTCTATCTTGGTCGTTCTGAACTTTGACCTTGGATAAGTGCTGCCCTTTTGATCTCAAATAGTTGATTATTCTTAGTGTATACCTAAGTACTGTTCTTGTTCCCCTTATGGACTTATTTATAGTTTGGCTGAAAATTGAGCAAAGGGAGTGAATGCAGTCTACACCAGAAAGGTGACTAAGACCTTTAGTCTTGGAGTCCCATCAGTCTTTATCTGACCATTAAGCATTGTCTTTTTTATGATTTTGAATTTTGTTCCACATTTTTCTCTCACTCTATCTAGAACTTTCTAATGTGACCCCTTTAAAAGCAGGTGATAGTGGTAGCTGGGACCCATCTAGCTCTTCTGATATCAGGGTTGTGGAGACTGATGTTTACAGGGTCCACTGTTACATTGAACCAATAGTTTCTGTGTGTCTTAGATTTTCATCAATCTTTTTTTCTTTTCTTTTTTTTTTTTTTGGTCTGGACAGGGATAGACCAATAATTGCACCTTAGATGGCCACTTAAGAGGTCTTGAAATCCCAGTCACTACTCATGAAAGTAGGATATAGGGTATTGTCTTTGTGGACTATGTTAAGCCAACTGATCGTGGTGTTCCCCAAGACTATGGTCCTGAGCCTCCAGGCCCAGCAACTCATTCACTCAAGGTGTCTGGTTGTATCTAAAAAATGTGTATACAGAGTAGACAGAGATGGGCAACTTGGACATTGGATACCCAAAATGGGGGGTGTGTGTGTGTCAGAGGGACTACAAAGGCAAGAAGTGACTGGCTTACAAGCTTTCAAGAGGGAACCTAGAGTCAGGGGGCATGGAGGAAGCAGAATCTCCAGTGAGTATTATCCAATCTGTGTAGGTGGAGCTGATGAAATGAAATGCAGATGGGTCACTTGTGATACAATAGTGAATAATTGTTATCAGGACTGATTGTGAGGGTTGGAAATGTAAAGGTAGACGTTTTATAGCAAGGAAGGGAGTGATTAACTCTCCAGTCTAGGAGCAGAGGTCTCTAGGACCATCAACAGAGAAGAGCCGAGAGCAGGACCCTACCCAGAGAAGCAGCGGTGCCTGAGATGGAGGCAGAGACAATGACGTGGAGTGATGAAGTGGCTGGGGACTTTGGGTCCAGAGAGGGAGTGGGACTGTGTGCTGAAGACTGGGGGGTGAGGGGTGGGGAAGGAGTGTAGGGGGCGGGTTTGTAGGGTATACCCTTTGGTTGGTTGATGATGCATGGAAGGGATTGGAACCATGGCAGTGAAATGGTATACGATAGAATGAATGTAAAACTAAGGTTCTCTCATGTAAACTATCATATAATTCACAATAAAAAAAAAAAAAAAAAAGGGGAAAACCTTGCCCCATATATGCCTTGCCTTATTATACTCATGGATATATTTATAGCCCATGTATAAAATCTTTTGTCAATTTATATATATTTTTTGATTACATGCCTGCTCTCTCTCCCACACCCATTCAACCTGAATAGCTATCTATATATCTACCTGTATCTCACTGTTTTTGTAGGATTGTGCATATAGCAGTATTTACCTCTGTTGTCTTTGTATATGGCTCTGTAGGATAAGCACTGGATTGGTAACTGCGAGGTAAGTGGTTCAAGCCCATTGGTTGCTCTTTGGAATCTATATACAGTGTCACTATGAGTTGGAACCAATGCAATGGCACTTAACAACAGCAATAACCACAGTTTGGCTATGGATTCTTCCATGGATGGACATTTAAGTTGGTTCCATCTTTTCACTGTTGTCATACTCAGTGTTTTTTTTAGAATTTTCAAATAGAGATGTGGCAACTATTCATAAATACGGGTTTAAATATTTTTATTCTGTGTTTAAAATACACAGTTAATGCTTTTGATTGAGATGACCTGCTCTGGAAGTAACTAAGCCAACCCAAACCAGACACATTACTCTTAGTTGATTAAGACTCATTGTGACCCTATAGTACAGAGTTGAATTGCCCCAAAGGGTTCTGAGACTGTCAGTCTTCACTGGTGCAGCTGTCCCGTTTCTTCCATGAGCAGCTGATGGTTTTAAACTTCCAATCTTTTAGTTAGCAGCTGAATACTTAAACCACTGTGCCACCTCATTCCTGTATAAGGAAACAACTTTGTTTTCCATCAGCTCAGATTTAGGCCCTTCTGGGAGAGTCAAACTCATTGATTTTTGATGCCTAGGGTCAACTATTTGTCAGATTAATGTACTGGAGGAAGTTCATCTTTAGTTAACGTACTTTTAAAAAAAGTTCTTCTTTAATTAGTATCATTTAAAAAAAGAAAAGAATAGTTCATACTTCTCTAATGTTTATGAATGCTTACATGAATTTTTTGTGGGGCAAAAAGATGAGGCTTTCAATTCCCATAAAGACTTACAGCCTTGGCATCGCTATGGAGAGTTGCTATGAGTCAGAACCAACTTGATGACACACAATCACTACCGCCATCACCAATACACAAAATTCCACAGCCCCATTCCTGACTGCTGAGATGAGTTATGTTTTCCTTTAGCTACGTGCCTTTCATGAGGTTGATGAAAGTGACTAGAAGAGCCATCAGGTCAATGCTTATGGAAAGAAGTACCATCTAGCTGGTGTTTTCCATATTATTGTTGTTCTGAGGTGTTATTGAATAGATTTCTATTCACAGCAATCCTATGCACAACTGAACAAAACATTGCATGATCCTGTGCCATCCTCACAATTGTTATGTTTGAGTCCATTGATGCTGCCACTATGCCAATCCAACTCATTGGGGCTCTTCCTATTTTTCACAGATGCTCCAATTTACTAAGCATGATGTCCTTCTCCAGGGACTGGTCTCTCCTGATAATATGTTTGAAGTATGAGAGATGAAATCTCACCATTAGTGCTTCTAAGGAGAATTCTAGCTGTACTTCTTCCAAAACAGATGTTTTTATTTTTCTGGCAGTCCATGCCACTTTCAATATTCTTTTCCTACAGCCGTGAGTCAAATGCACCGATTCTTCTATGGCCTTCCTTATTTATTATCCAATT